GGAACATGCACCCACCCAGCTGCTGAGTGTGCCCTGCCCTCATGGTGGGGTGGGACAGCAGAGGTGAGAAGAGCTAGGGGAAGTGTGGGAGCAGGTAGAGGATCTCCTCCACTTACTGACTGAGCCCTGGGTGGAGATCTGCAGTCTGAGGAGTATCAGGGAATACAAGGATGAGAGATTATTGGGACTGTACCCTGACCTCCCTAAGACAGGCTGACTGACCACCTGAGTCAGAAGACCCTCTGTCCACTTGCCATCTGGCTGAATGTGGGGACTCAAAAGGCAAGAGGCAATAAGCAGCAAGTTCCTGCCTAATGCAGCAGGTGGCTACCCCACCTTCTCAGGTGGGCTATGCAAGTGAAGCCAGAAAATGATGAGGGTAATGGTACACTGAGACTGGAGGAGTCATCAAAGGTAAGTCAGCCTATACCCTATATCCAAAATTCAGCCACCAAGAAAATGAGATGGGTTGTTGTCATAGGAGACTCCAATCTTAAAGGAACAGAAGGCACATTACACAGACTAGACTCACTTCTTGGGGATGTCTGCTGCCTACCTACAACCTGGGTTAAGGATGTCAAGAGAAAGCTCCCCACCCTAGTAAAGCCATCAGATTATCACTATTGATATTTCAGGTTGGAAGTGATGAAGTAATGACAACAAGCCTGAGGGCAATCAAGAGGGACTACAGGGCCTTAGGATCAATGGCTAAAAAGTCAGGAGCACAGGTGATGCTCTCCCCTGTCCTTCTAGTCACAGGGCATAATGAGGAAGGAAATGGGAAGAGCCAGCTAATCAATGCTTGGCTCAGAGACTGGTGTCATTGGCATAATTTTGGGTTCTTTGGATATGAGTGTGTTTACAGGATACTGGGTCTGCTGGTGACTGGCAGAGGTCACCTGTCTCATAGGGGGAGAAGGACCCTGGCTCAGGAGTTAGCAGGGCTTGCTGACAGAGCTCTAAACTAGTTTTGAAGGGGGAAGGGGATGAAGCCAGGCTCAATAGAGCCAAGCCTTGGGGTAGCACACTGGTGCTTGAAAGGCGCTGTAATAGCGAGGTCCTTGGGTCTGCTCTCTCAGAGGAAGTAAGATACGAATCCAGACAGCAGCAGAGATACAAGGTGTTTTGATGAGGTAGGAACCACAGACACTCCCAAGAATCATCATGAGGGAATTAGGGCTCCTACCTCTAATAAAAAGTCATAGGACCCACAGCCCAGCTGAAGTGCATCTACACAAACGCATGCAGCATGGACAACAAACAGGAACTGGTAGCTACTGTGAAGTAGTAAAACTATGATATAGCAGCCATCACAGAAATGTGGTGGGATTCCTTGCCTGTCTGGAGTACTGTAATGGATGGCTACAAACTTTTCAGAAAGGATAGGCAAGGAAGAACAGGAGGAATGCTAGCCCTTTATTTTAAGGAGTGTTTTGGTTGCCTGGAGGTTAATGGTGGTGATGACAGGGTTGTGTTTGTGGGTAAGAATCAGGGGGAAAACCAGCAAGGCAGATATCACGGTGGGGGTCTGCTATAGACCACTGAACCAGGATGAGGAGGTAGAAGAAATATTCTACAAGCAGCTAGGGGATGTCTTGGGAACATGAGCCCTTGTTCTCCTGGAGGACTTCAACTTGCCAGATGTCTGTTGGAAATACAACACAGCAGAGAGGAGACAATATTGGAGTTTCCTCGAGTGTGTGGAAGACAACTTCCTGACACAGATGGTAAGGGAACTGACCAGGGAACGAGCCCCACTGGACCTGTTATTCACTAACAGAGAAGGACTGGTGGGTGAAGTGGTGGTTGGAGGCTGCCTTGGGCACAGTGATCATGAAATGATCAGGAGAGGGGTCAGCAGGACTGCCACCTTGGACTTTTGGAGGGCAGACTTTGGGCTGGAGTCTGGTTGGCAGGGTCCCTTGGGAGGCAATCCTGAAAGGCAAAGGAATCCAGGAAGGCTGGACACTCTTTAAGAAGGAAATTTTAAAAGTGCAGGAACAGGCTGTCCCCATGTGCCAAAAGACAAGCCGGTGGGGAAGAAGACCAGCCTGACTGAACAGGGAGCTTAGACTGGAGCTCAGGAGAAAAAGGAGGGTTTGTGATCTGTGGAAGAAGGGACAGGCAACTCATGATGACTACAAAGACCTCGTGAGGCTATGCAGGGAGAAAATTAGAACGGCCAAAGCCCAGCTAGAACTCAATCTAGCTGCATCAGTAAAAGGCAATTAAAAAAATGCTCCTATAAATAGATCAGTAACAAAAAGAAAGCTAAGGAGAACCTTTGTCCTTTATTGGATACACAAGGAAACATTGTGACAAAGGATGAGGAAAAGGCTGAGGTACTTAATGCCTTCTTTGCCTCAGACTTTAGTGGTAAGACAGGTTGCTCTCTGAATACACAGACCCCTATGCTGGGGGACAGGAATGAGGAGCAAAACGACACTCCCATAATCCAAGGGGAAATGGATAGTGACCTATTGCACCACTTAGACATCCACAAGTCTATGGGTCCAGATGATATCCATACAGAGTACTGAGGGAGCTGGCAGAAGTGCTCGCCAAGCCACTCTCCATCATTTATCAGCAGTCCTTCTCGCTGACTGGAAGTTGGCAAATGTAACAAGAAGGGCTGGAAGGATCATCCAAGCAACTACAGGCCTATCAATCTGACCTTGGTGCCACGGAAGGTGTTGGAGCAGATCATCCTGAGTGCCATCACGTGTCATGTGCAGGACAAGCAGGGGATCAGGCCCAGTCAACACGAGTTTATGAAAGGCAGGTCTTGCCTGACTAACCTGATCTCCTTCTATGACAAGGTGACCCACTTAGTGGATGAGGGAAAAGCTGTGGATGTGGTGTACTTAGACTTTTGTAAAGCCTTTGACATTGCTTCCCACAGCATTCTCCTGGAGAAACTGGCCACTCATAGCTTGGATGGATGTCCCCTTCGCTGGGTAAAGAACTGGCTGGACTGCCAGGCCCAGAGAGTTGTGGTGAATAGAGTTAAATCTAGTTGGCAGCTGGTCACGAGTAGTGTTCCCCAAAGATCAGTTTTTGGGCCAGCTGTTTATCAATGATCTGGAAGAGGGCATTGAATGCATCCTCACTAAGTTTGCAGACAACACCAAGTTGGGCAGCAGTGTTGATCTGCTTGAAGGTAGGAAGGCTCTGCAGAGGGATCTGGACAGGCTGAATTGATGAGCTGAGGCCAATAGCGAGAAGTTCAATAAGACCAAGTGCTGGGTCCTGCACCTGGGTCACAATAACCCCATACAACACTACAGGCTTGGGGAGGAGTGGCTGGAAAGCTGC